TTTTGGTGTGTTTCGGTGTGAAATGCGACTCTAATTAATTAGTCCTGGAAGATCTTTATGAGTTTATGAAAACAGGATGTCCCCCTGAAGCATTGCAGGTTTTTGACTCTTTGCTTCACTGAATTTCACAGTTATTCAAGTTTGTAGTTTAGCTAGAAGTAGGTGAAATTTTTAGCAAGTATTTTATGCTTCAGTGACAATTTCATGGTTAAATTGTGTCTGAAGAAATTTTTAGCAATTAATCAGGTGAGAAAGAAATTGAACTATCCCACCAATAACTAATTCATAGTTATTCATCTTTTTCCATGAGACAGACTTTTTTTTTTAATTGTTACATCTTAATCGTAAGTTGTGTGAATTAGCAAAGCACTTCATATTTGCTCACCATGTTTATTTCCATCTGCATGATTCTGTGCTGAGTTATCTGTTCACATAATACATTTATTTAAACTGTATGTCAGTATTCCTTTGACATTCAGCTACATCTCATAAAGAAATGCAGCTGAGTGAGTTTTAATTATTTTTATTTATTGGGTATAAATTTGCTCAACCTGGAGCATGAAGCCGGATGAATACTGAGCCGGATTCTTCTACAGCTTTCTTTCCGTTGATAGGACAGTTCCTTTTTACCTTTGCAACATGCTAGGCTTCCTTAGATATTTTACATTTTAATCTGGAGAGATGCAAACAGAGAAAAGCAGCGATTAGAGAGTTTTATTTGACTTGAAAGTAGGTTTGTTTGGCACAAGACGTATACGCTGTGAATAACCACCAGCTTGAATACACAGTTTAGGGCGAAGCACCTACATTTGACTACATTTCATTATTTTGACAGAACTGGCATGTAACTAGAAGGAAATGTATCTGAATAATTTGGGCATTTTGTAAAAGTGGACATGAATTGGACTTGTTTTGCTCTGAAATGCTGAAGCGCTGCATTAAGAATAAATTCAACTGAATTTAGAGTTGGAATAATGTGTGGCTAAAGGTTTCCATTTAGTTTGAATTTTGGACATAATAATCTTCTGGGAGTTTTCTAAACAAGGTGCAGCTTCAGTGATCAGTTCAGAAGGATATGAAGACATGTATGAGAGTCTCCGCTCCAGAGAGGCCTCAAGGCTGTGTACTTAAATCACAGTACCTAGTCATGTACTGTTGCATGATGGTTAAAAAAAAAAAATAGAAAAATCTCAACATTTCAAATCTAATTTCCCCTCCTCTTCTCCGTCAGCCAAGATCTGGTGTAGATAAAAGAAAACTAGATGCTGACCCTTTCTGCCACAGGAAATGTCCTAACTTTTGTCCTAGCAATCTTTCAAGGCAAATTAAATCTTATTTTTATTTGCTCTCGATTCAAGTTACTCAACTAAACAACAGCAATGATCATTTCAAAGTTAAAGGTTCTAATAAAGGCCCTTGGAGCTTTAACTAAAAAAAAATAAAATAAAGCAGAAGTTTAGCTCATACGGTAAAATCATCAGAAGAGTGAAGCATATGATGTTTTGGTCTGTTTACTCCATGCAGAGCAGACACACACCAAAAGAAAGACTTAAGTTATTTTTCTTCTGACTTCATGCTGGTATTTCCCCATCAGTAGGAAGTCGGCAGCAGCCACCAACCTGGATGATTATTTATTTACTGCATACATTATGGATAAAGACCAGAGTCAATATGGAGCATAAACATTGTCCTGGATTGTGGGAGTAATCCGAAACTACTTCTTTAACAGCTGTGGCTTTTCCACTTATCTTCTTTTACAGGTTCAGCAGAGAAAAGAAATTATTTGTCTAAAAAAAGGAGACTTTATTGTAAATTTTCCTCAGAGTTCTGTGAAATATGTAGCCATGGGACTTCCACCGGCTCCCAGAGGTACGGACTTGTGTTTGTGCCAAGGAAAATTACATGCATGGATGTGGGGTGTGTTTACAGGCCACAGAGTGTTAAATGAAGTTTTATTTATGGGAAGCGAATCCTCACGGTCATTGAATAAGCGATCTGAACTGTCCCTCCACAGCGATCGGGCTGTTGGGTCCGGTCCTGTTGTGGGCAAACCAACTCTTTTTGAACCAGTGAGTTGGGCTGGACAGACACCTCCGCCTGTCACCACCATCCGATGTCATCCCCACCCCCTGATGGAGGCTAGGAAGATGAATGGGTCGAGTTGCCAGGTGAGCCCCTGTGCAGGTTCAGATCCATTCATTCACACCAGCAGACTCTTTGTTCAAAGTTCATTTAAATGCTAATTTGGCCTTAGGAAACTGAACCCTGCTGGCTTCTTAACTGAGGAGCTTTGGTCTCAGTCATATCCATCAGTCACTGTTTGAAGCTCGGTGCAAAAATATTCCCTCTGATTACATGAATTTTATCCTGATTACACTACCTGTAGAGGCAGACCTTCTGTCTTCCTGCAGACTTAAACAACATTCACAAAGAGACGTTCAGTGGAAGGCTGGATGTTTGTAAAACCTATGAGCTGTTTGTGCTAAATATGCTGCGATCAGTGATTAGAGCTGATCAGCAATCAGTGAGAATCTGCCTCATTTAACGGTGAAGACGACTTAAAGACGTGACGGAAACTTTCTACTTGATTTACAAATCTTAATACTTCCAACCTCTGTTCTGACTGAATCCATGTTTCCATTAACAGATTTCAAAAATTGTAAAAATGTCTGTATGCAAATTTTTTGATTCATGCTTACAATTTGAACTAGTAGAAAATGATATTTAACTGCAATCGGGTTAAATGTACACAGATTTTCCCCTCCTCCTACACTCTCATCCCTTGGTTCACAAAACAAGATTTTAATTTTCAAAACCCAAGAGGTTGTAAACATGCCAATAAAAATATAATAGAAATAACAGGTTTGGCCTTAATGTATAGTGACAAGGCAAATACAGCACGTAATTTGGTGCTCAACTCTTTGTAAAATGGAATCATTGAGATTTTTGTGAACAATCTCCCTCAAAAAGATATGCTTGTTTTTTTTTTTTGTTTTTTTTTTGTACGGGATAAATGTCACATTAAACCTGGAAATATTTCTGATTTATGTCACAAAGCCCAGCATTTTAACAGGCGTGTGCAGACATTGGCGCTATCAGATTGCTGTGGGAGGAAGCTTCAGAGGATGTTTACCTTTCGTTGTCCTCCTTCTGAGGAAACCTTTCCAATTCTTGAATTCCTTCTGGATCCATTCTCTCTGCCTCTTTGTCCTCAAAGTTTTCTGGTGAACTTAACAAAGCATTTCCTCCGTCAATCTCCTCCCACTCCTCTGGCTGTCCCTTCGATCCTCCACATCCCATCACCAAGTTCACCCACCTGTCCGTCCTCCAACGCTGCACCGTGCGTCTCATCACGCTCTGGAAGAAAAGAGAGTGGAATCATAAACACAAACCACCATCTACCGACCCCAGATTCCCTGGAAACCCAATCAACTCATCTGGCAGAAAGGATTTTGCCCTTTTCTCAGTCTCAGTTCAACCCATGCCTTACTCTTCATGGGAATCGGCCACGCTGGAATAAAGTCAGAGATTCCATCACTGAGTCTTCGTTTAGATTGAAGGAACTGCCTCAATTATTTATTCTCCAGCTGAATCAGAACAGAAAATGCATTCAAAGCTGTGGCCATGAAGATTATATCAGATGGGTGTTGTGCAACTTCCTGAAAAGCTCATTTTGTGCCAAAAAAACTTGGCAAAAACAAAAAAATTGACTATTAAACAGTGTAGTTCTGCCACCGGTTGTGATCAGTGTTACTTTAAATTCACTATTCCTGTGACTGAGCATCTGTGGGTGAACTTCTGAAGTTCCCTCAGCTTCCTCTTTCACCAGCATCATAAACCGGAGCATTAAGCTGCAGTCTTATTATCCCCCCCCCCCATTCTGGCCAACATTAAAATATTTAAGAACACCTTCAGCAGTAGTTTTCCTGTCCTTGACCAGAACATGCGCGCCCAGCCCCTCCGGCTGTGCTGGATTATTAATGGAACAGCAAAAAGAATTCCAAGGACTTGCTGAGGAAAATCTCCAGCAGCTCCGCGCAGCTTCAGTCAAACACTTTGAGCTGAGGTGTCTGAGCTGCAGAGCCGCTCGGAAAGAGGAATGATTTATGTTTGGATGTCCTGTGAAATGAACACCTCCTTCAGTGAAATAACAGACTCAGAACCCCACCTCAGGGCTGGAATGATCTCACCACACTTTAACAGCACACAGATGGGACATCTTTATTATTCTACTCCTCTGTAAATCCACAGTTTTCCAAGTCTGGATAAAAACAACAGCCACCTATCATGGAAACTTTAAAGGGGAAACTGATGGGGTTTTTTTTTTGTTTGTTTTTTTTTTTTTCCATCTTATATAAGGTCATAGTGCTGGATGCTCATGATAAATTGGACAGGAGCTGGAAATAACATGATGTACAATTGAAATTATCCTCTGCACGATGAAAGCTCCGGCTTTCGGCTGATGTGAATACAAATCCATGGAGCTGTTGAACACATTAGAGGAGTCACGCAGAAACAGATGTTTGACTAAATAACCAAAACACAGTTGTGTCTCAAAGAGCACTGCAGAGATATACGCAAGGAGAGCGCTGTATTTCAGGGCATTACTGGAAAGCTGAGTGGAAGGAAGAAGTGTGGCGGAAAGAGGTGCATGACCAACAGGGATATTCAGAACCTTGAGCGGAAAACAAAGCAAAATCTCAGAAGGAGTCGGCTGTGAGTGGAGTCATTTCTTATTGAACCACCACACTGAGAATGTGATCCAAAAGTCTTACATTTGTTGTGTTAAGTTATTTCAGAACCAGCATCAGTATAACATCTACCTGAGCGAAAGTGAACACATAAACTGCTGTTCAATTATCCAAAGTCTTCTTCTCGGATGGAAGTAAAGAAAAGCATGTATTCTGCATTTTATTTTGTCTTAGTGTCTGGGAGAAGAATGAGGAGGGACAGAAAACAAGACGGTCCTGCTTCAGGCTGAAACATCCAGTCAGTAAAGAGTTTATGAGCCGTGTCATCTGCTGCTGGTCCAACATGTTTTATCAAGTCCGAGATCAAAGCAGATGTATTGGACATTTTTAATTACTTTCCACTTTCAGACAAGATAATTCACTGTGTTTTGGACATCTTCATCACAGATTCTTTGTTTTTGCTTTTGTTTCTTATCCTGCAGGAATCTAAGAACTTCCCTGTTGCTCCCTGCCGATGTTTGACTCTAAATCAGGAACTCCTTTTCTTGATTTACCAGAAAACAAGCAGGGTACCATGTAATGCATAGCTACTCCGATAGCTCCTAAACAAACCCACTACCGCCACCTGCTCTGTGCCCACAGTCTCTCCTCTCATGCTTTGGGCCAGTTACTTGTCCTGAATGTGGAGAGCCTCTAAAGAGAGTTCTGCCCCCAAGGCAGCACTCAAAAATGCAAGGGGAGCACACCACTGGAAAACCAAGCTCAAATGGTTTCTGTGTTTTTTTCCCCCCCCTTATATAAATAATGTGAGATGTATTCTGGCTGAAGGAGTACTTCTTCCTTTCAGGTTAAAATCTGAGACCAACAGAGCAGCAGGGATTCTTTTTCTACATCTCTGACCTGCTTTTTGTCTCCAAGTTTATGGCTTAAGTGGCTTAGGGTTTTTGTTGCAGGCAGATCTTATGATTTGTTAAAAGGTTTTTACTGTCTTTGAAGTCCACAGGCAACTTGAGCGGCAGAGAATATGATATGAAAAACATCAGACTTGTTTTTTAGGTGGAAAAACTATAAAAGATTCACTGATTAGGATGAAGAAAGTAAACACGCCCACCCTCTACACCCACCTTAAAATCCATCCACATGTTACACTCGCATCGAAATTTTAAATAATGGCATCAAGTTTTCAAGTCTTAATGCAGGAAAGGAAATTACAAAACAATTCAAAAATTTAAGGATTACTTAATAACGGTTAATTATTACATCGTTAACTTGATTAGAGAGATTTATTCAACTTATTTTGCATCAAGAGTTATCGAATAAAGAATGATTTAAAACGGGATTTGGTAACAGTAACCAGGGTTTCCCAAATACTGAGTCATTCCACTAATACATCTGTAACTGCAGGCAAGTTTCAGACTGACTTTAGAAATTTGTTCAGCGTCTCGCTGGATTACAGCGGCTTCTTCTGCAGAGGGCAGCCAAGATTACTGAACACTTACACTAAAAAACAATTAGACATTACCGAAAGAAAAAGTAACTGACTAAAAGTCACCTGGAGCAAAAGGGAGGAACGAGGAAAGGACACAACTGGACTAGATGTCCCGTAGCTGTGCACCACGCAGCTGTGTGATGCACTTCAGCGTCTCTTCAGGCTGGAGAGGAGCTGGAGGAAGCTTAGTTCAGACCAAAAATTGTTTGCTGTACTAATCAGTTAATCTCTACCGCTGCTCAACACACGCACTCAGCTTCCACATCACTGAGTCACTGAGTTGTTCAGAGCAAATTGTTTCTGACTGATGCACTTTGCAATTACAGCTGTGCAGGACAGAAATGACAGGACTGGCTGCAAAACATGCAGAGTTCAGCAACAGGTGAGTCCATGGTTTCTATGGGGAAATGATGCTGGTGGCTTAACCAAACTGCACTGTTTATTTATCTATTTATTACTGTTCTGTTTGACATGTTTCTTATTAGAGATTCAAATATGTTAGAGTCTTTTAAAGTGTGTTTCAGTTTGGTACCAACAATTTGCAGTTAAAATTAAAACCTGAAAGCATTTTATGTGCACACTACCTTTCTTTTTTGTACTTTTTTGCTTTTACGGCTTCTCATATCTCAACTTATTTCACTTTTCCCTTTGTTCTATAAAGTGCGTAGTTGCACAAAACAGGCTGAGACTCCTGTAATGTGGCCTTTTGAGAGTCGCTGCAGCTGCCAGCAACACTGTGGCCTTTCACTGACTCTTCTCAATGACTGTAGGTTGGAAACCCTGGCATCACAGACAGGCTGAGGAAGACGTGAAGTTGTGTGACTGAACTCATTTCTCCTGCATGTCCCCGGATGAGTTCAACAGACGACTGGAGGTTTGCGTTTGAAAAGACGTTGGCAGGAACTGAAGCAGAAACAGAGGAAGCGGCAACGTCTGCCAGAAACTGGGATGCATGAAATCTTTAATTAAAGCTCAAGTCTCAATCAGCACTGCCAGTGCCAGCTAAATAATTCTTCCTTTATTAGGACACCCAAACTTGGGTCTGTCTCTGGCAGAGGTGCCAAAAAATGCTCTTTTACTGCTCATGTGTGAAATGAACAAAATGATGCAATGTCTCGTAAATACTTGCATAAATTCTGAGAAGATATCACAGCGCAGCAACAGCAGCTCCACTATATTTCATGCAGGATCTTTGTGTTTCTTGTTGCAAGAAAACTGCAATGATCTATTCTTTCTGTATGTCTGATATGAGGAAGATGCTCAGAGATGATTGCAGGGACAGTTTCCTCCTTGTCAGCCTCATGGGAGACAATTTCAGGATGTTCCAGCTAGGCAAGTAGCAATCATAAATTGCAGTTACTTATGCTTGATCACCAAAAATTAATAAATAATAAGAAATATAAGAACAGTTGTAGTTTGCCATGAAATTTATATGAACACTGTTTGTAAAATTCACACAGAAAATCTCCATTGACTGAAACAGGAATGTGGAGACAGGGAGTGATGAGGAAAAAAAAAAAAAACATCCTGGTTTTATCAACATAGCTTAGCAATACTTTACAGCAAAAACATCATTCGCCATTTAAACTGGTCACAGATGGATTTTAAATCCATCTGAATTTGTATTCTGATATGTTTTAAATGATCATACTCCAAGTTTTTCTGCTTCTGTTTATTTTCTATTTTACCACAGAATGTTTGACTTAGAATCACATGATGTGAAACTCAATAAAACACATAAAAATTTGGATTGAAATTAGTGTCATTATCAGACATTGTTTTATCCTGACCTTGGGTTTAACTCCAACATTATGGAACAGGTTTCCATTAAATACCAGACATGCTTCACTTGCCATCTGTCCTCACTGGCTTTTCACATAGTTTGGGTCATTCATTTCCATTTGTTGGAAATGAATATTCATTTTATTGGACATACTTTTTGCTATATTTTATTACTATCTATGTTTTGATTTGTTTTCATGGTGTACAGCACTGGTCAAACAAATTGTTAAATGTGTTTTATAAATAAATGTGAATTTATTTCTACTTGTAAAGTTTTTACATCAAAATACTTTTTTTTTTTTTTTTCCTTTTTTCTATAAAAGCATAAAATATGAGATTCTGGGACAACTACTCTGGTACAGCCAATCAGTGTCAAGGAAAATAAATGGTGCTCCTTGACTGGTGGATTTGCAAACGCTAGCCAATAGTATGTCAAGTAGCGCTGCACCACGGCATTTTAGCTGTCCAAGCTGCATTTCTTCTTTAAAATATTCTAGATATATGCTACAAAACCATCTATGGAAATAATCCACAAATAGGAGAATCCATGAATAGTAAACCACTATTCACAGTTTATTATTCAAGGGTACAGTGGAGCCTTGTACTATGTTTCAAAGTCTTAGTAGCCTCAAGGATGAAAACCTAGATGATTTTCAGCCAGGCGCACGTCTTCTGAAGGTTCTCAGTTTTAGTCAGTACATCAAGCCTGTAGGAGATAATAAAGACCATACTCCTGTTCAGACGTCCAAGCTCCAATTTATAGGAGATCCAAGAGATGATCCGAAACATGCTTCCTGCATAGTAGAGCAGATTTGGTCAAACTAAAGGAACCGTGTGTTTGAGTGATGACAGCTCGTCACTCAGTGCTGCTTTCAGAGCTGCTCCGACTTAGGCTGAACCATCCACCGCTTTAATGGATATTGTTTTCATTCTGTATTTGCTTAGGAGGCCTTCCACTGACTTTTCCGGTTAATATGTGGAAGTGTGTGTTGGCCGGGAGGCTGCAGCTGAGCCCTGCCAAAATACACTCTCTCACTACTCAGGATCATTCAATTGGCCTCCATAAATCTGAGCAGAGAGCAGCCAATATCCTGATATTCTACACTCTGCATCTGTGGGACTGTATTTCTGTGGATTCTTATTTGTTCAATTCATCTTGTAGGTCCTGAGTGTGTGAGTTTTCTGCGAGAGCTGCCTTGGTTGTTCTTTATTGTTCCCATTTAATATTCTGTGGTCATCTTCTGCCAGTAACAGGCAGTAAAAAGACTTAATGACATGTTCTGACTCCTAATCAAACCTTAAACTGAAACGAGGAGGATGCTCAAACACACAGAATTACCTGAACAGCCTAACATCTGCAGCATTTCAGCAGATAAAAGAAGAGAACATCAACATGGATATCATTTTAGGTGCTGCAGCAGATTTTTCAGATGATAGTTTGATGTTGTTCTTTTCTGATCACCTATTTTATAATCAGCTCATCGTCAGAGCAGTTTTTACAGATCACAAGTACAGAAATGCTGCTTTTCATGTGCAAATAATTGCCCAACCAACAGTAAACTTCCTGCAGTCTGTTTCAAAATCTGTCCTCTAAATACATGCAGATGCTGCTCAGTTGTCATTTTTAAGACGCTAACAACAATAAAAATTGACTGCAGTTTTTGCCTTCAGAAACAGGTTTGTTCCTGTTGTGTATCAGGAGTGTCTCCTATCATTTCAGCCTGAGGTTGTTCATTTTGCCTCAGAAGTTGTGGAGCAGTTACAGACCGAATCCGACGATGTTTTTCCAGGTGAAAGTTTAAAAAAACAGCCGAGGGCTTAAGGGATTAATACAACCAGGAATGTATAATTTTAAACCTTGATACTCTGGCTCAAATATAGAACAACCCCCCTGAGTCATTTTAAAGTAATGCACTTCACATTAGTGGTGCTGGAAAAGTTAGAGACTATTAATGTAACCTGAAGAAAAAGGTGATTTTTAAAATTCAGTCTGAGCATCAAAAGATCATAAAAACTTACAATGTAGTGGGCAACAAGCAGAGTGAGCAGGTAAAATATTAATGTTCCAAAGGGAAAAAAAAATACAATCACTGGTAAAAGAAATATGAAAAAAAGAAAAAAGCATGTTCTTGTTCTATTGTAGTGTTTAAATATTAAGATTCACCAAAACAAATGTGGTACTGAACTGGTTCTAAAATGTTTTCCATATATGTGTAAAAAAACCACCACAGTTCCTCAACAATGAAGTGAAAATAGAGAAACTAAGTGAAAACCTAAATCTAACCCTGCTGTATTTGTAGGATTGTAGAGGGGAAACCGAATGTGTGCATGATGACTATTGACTGTTGCTGTTCATCAATATCAGGATGTTTTATAATGTTAATTCCAAAATATTTGAACTCTGTCATCCTATAATGAGAAAAATTCTTCACAACTGGAAAACAAAAAGAAAGCAGACAGCGGCAAGCTTTGAGGGGGGTAAATACTGTAGAAAATATTCCCCAAGGTCAGAGAAATGACAAAAAATGACAAATAGTTTTGTCTCCTCTTCGGGCCTCAGTGGCAGCACCACTTAGTTTAAGATGCATATGGATAAACCACATAACATCCGAAGCATTGTCCTTCGGACACATGAGACAAAAGTTGAGATGTTTGGTCATAATCTTAGGACCTGGTCTGGAGAAAAAAACAAACATAATGCCTCATATCAACTATTAAGCTTGGTGGTGGAGGATTCATCATCTGAACTTCTACCATGATCTCAGTACACCAATTTATAAATGGGAGGACATCTGTTGGACGTCTGAAACAGGAAAATAATCTCAAATCCTGCAGCAAATCTATAACAATAGTTGAAACAAAAAGAATCAAGGTGTTGAAATGGTGTAGTCAAAGATCAGACCCTAACCCCATTGAAATGCTTTAGTGGGACCCCTTATACAACCTGAATTTATTGACAATTTACCAATAAATATTTCTATATATCAAGTACATGTTAATTTAATTATTCATAAAATTTTGCAGAAAGGTGTGTATATATAATGATTTTCAGAGTTAAATGAACATTAAACAGCAGAAGGAGGATGTATCTATAAACTTGGGTAACTTATTACTGCACAAGCATTTGCAAATATTATACCACCTTTGAAAACTGCCTGTTTAAACACAAACCATGACTTTTACTTGAATGTATTCAAGGAATGTACATTATTGGATCGAAGTTACGAATAAAATGAGCAGGTGAAAACATATTTTAAAGAGTGATGAACAGTTCAGCCTTTTCTACTTAAAAGTCTAAAGGAAATGCAAAAACAATGGTTTCAAAAAAGAAATTGCAAACTTTTTGCTAAAACACTCAAAACTTTTAGAAACGAGCATCTTGAGATTATGTTACCAACTTCATAAGACATTCAGTAAACAGCTGCAGCTCTCTGCTGCAGCCAGGCCTTTGATGGGAAACACCTTTCTGTTATTTTCACCTCTGACCTTTTTCCGCCATCTGACCTTCTTCTCACAGACAGCACTACTTTCTCTTCCACCTCCTCACAATACGGCACAAGGCTTGTTTCACACACTGGTATCCTATGGGAATATAAGAACAACATACGAGATAACAATGTAAGAGCTGAGCTGCATTTTCATCCAAATTGCTTCTTGTCGCTCAGTACTGCTGCATCTCCCACAAGCAAACAAGGAAGAAGTGTTTCCTAAAGAAACAACAGACCCAAGAGTCCAAACCCACAACCAGTCACTGTGGAAAACCCAATGTATTTCCTCTCAGCACAGATTCATCTATAGCTTGGGTGAACAAAAGCGTAGTCCAGGACTGTTTAGAGCAAAGTTGAAGGAAACAAGTTTCTTCAAAGTCGGTAAAAACTTTGAGATGTAAAGGTAGAAGAAATTCCCAAGACTTCATTCAATATTAAGTACGACTCAGGAAGGTGATCAGTTCAACCAGCAGTTCATTGTCTGACATAAAATGTGTTTTTAACTTTTGAGAAGATACTGGAGCAACAACCTTCAGTATTTACAGCTACAACTTGCTACATAAATTATTGGAACAATTTATTTGGTATAATATTTAGTTAAATGAACATCAGGACACACAGATTGATTCTTGTTTAGCTCAAAGTTGAGAAAAGAACAGGATATTGTGAAAGACCAAGTGCTGCTGTTTGTGTGTGTGACTTTTGATGTGATCTCTCTCTGAACAGTGCATGTATCCTGGAACCAGTGATGTGTATTTTATGTTTTCAGGCCTCATGAGTGAGTACTTTACATTTTGTTCATGTCACTTTTTAAATTTTTATTAAAAGGACTGACTAACCACTTGGGAATAAAGTTTCAAGAACTCCTAAGTGATCCGATATTTTTTTAGCTAAATTAATAAGACAGTAAAAAAATGTCTCATCACTTCTGTCTGTTTCACTTCCTGTTCTCAGGCATCTAGCATCTTGAGGTGAGTGAAGCAATGACAAAGCAATGTAAGAGATTAAATATATTATCATTAGGCAATATTTGAGTTGCAGTTGCATTAATTCTGTTGTTTCTGTGTAAAGTTACAAAGACCCACTGTAAGTGTAAACTGAAAAAAAAAAAAACAGCCAACTTAACTGCATTTTTCCTGCAGTGGTTAAAAGAATTGCAATATTAAGTCTGACAAAGCATTCCAGTACAGACTCCAGCAATGTAGCAAAGTACTAAATGTGTCAATAGCTTTTTGTTAACCTTCCTGACACAATTTGTCCCATCAACTGTCCACTAACACAGAATCTCCATCTGAAGCCAGAACAGCAGTAATGCGTTATCCAGAAGATTCTGCTGTCAGCATATCTAAAAATATAATGTGTGTATTTTAGTTGTTAAAAATCAACACATTGTATAAATTTCTGTCACCTCATTTCATCAAGAGAGAATTTATTTTATTTTATTTTATTTTTATTCACTAATAGCTGTCCAGGTCTATTTTTATAGTGTTACAATATTATTACTTATTTAATCAAAATACTGAAATGTGTGTTTTTGTTGGAATGGATGCCAAGCCAGCTAGCCTCGAATGGCAGAAGACCAGAATATTGGTGCTGGACCAAGAACGCCGTCCAAGAAGGACCAATCAAAAGGTAATCCATTTGGTTTTATGTTCTTAAGGAATTTGGTGCTGGATGCAAGCAGCCACAGGACCTATAAATCTGAGAAACTATTGAGTATAGATGTGTGCTGTGTGAGCATACAAATAGGTGTTTAAATTCTGTTTAAATAGGGAGAAAATCCTACCAGAGAGTAAGTTGAGCTTTGGCTGTGCTTAAATATTTCTGTTTACCGCCCAGGCATGATGAATGGAGCCTTTTGAGCTATGAAATTCAAGTAAAGCGTTAGGTGGAAGAGTTGGTTAGCAACCTAATAGAGCGCAACTAAATGGAAACATTTATCCACTCTTGAATCTTCTTAAATACAATGTGAATAAAGTGATGTTATAGCTTTACAAATATATGAAGCATCCAGATTTAACAGGTTAAATCTTTAACATGACATCCTAAATGTGTGACATCTGATATATTGGAACAGAATAACATTACATTAAAAGATAAAAAAAAAAGAATACTAGAAGTGCCAAAACATGTTAGAAACGTGAGGATGTGGATGCTACATGCAGGAGGGAAGAAGTTTTTGAAACAAAAAGTTTAAATAAACTAAATATGAAAGTTCTGCTGAAATCGGAGCTCGCATGAAACAAACAAGGCCAAATAAACAACACAGCGAGCATCTGTGGGGGGTGAAGCATATATCTGACAGGGAGGCTGATTAGGGAAGTGGCTGCAGGTGAGGTAAAGGGAATCAGAGCAGGTGGTGGCATTGTTATCAAGGAGGTGATCAGAGAAGCTGGAGAAAAACGCAGAATAGAAGGCAGAAGAGACAAAAACAGAAACTTAAAGAAAATAAGTTCTGACAAAAACACAACTCTGAAGAACAAAATATTCAAGCAATTCTGTCTTGTTTGGGGGTCCTCCTCAGCAGCGGCTGCTTTTGTCTGAAATCTTTCTCCCCAGTTCAAACTACAGCTTACATTCAAGCTAAAGTGTTTCAATGAAACATTCATATCTACTCATTTTTTAATCAGATATTTTTCTTTTTCGGAGGATGCCTCCACATGCTCAGGAAGTTCAGCAGCTGAATTTCCTCGTTGTTCTTTGCGGGGATCTGAACTTCGCACCTGTTGTAATTTTGTTTTCCTCTCATTCAACATCTGTGGTGCGTTAGTATGTGGAAAATGTTTTCAGTTCTTTGCTCCCCTGGAGGAGAACCGGGTCCAGCACCATGAGACGGTTTTTAAGCACTACTGCTCCAACCTCTCATTATATCAATCAGCAACTAAATGACAAATGAGTGATCCATGAGCTACATTAAGTTTTTGGAGATCGTTTTGTTTAAAAAGACTGTTTTTCATATTACAAACTTGAGTCCAGCTCTCTGTAGAGATTTAAACGTTGCTCAATAAGGAAGTGAAAGAGAGATGTACAAAGAGGAAACATTTTAGCTTTTCTGTTGCGTGTTCTTGCTGCTGCACTTTATTAATGGAAATGGGTGTATTTTATCTTACTTATAACATTATAAAGATAAAATAGAACTGAAAAAAGTGTTTCAAAACTGTTTCTCCCTGCTTAATTCCACAACAATGAGTTTGAGAATTTGCTTAGTTTTGGTCGAATTGCTTTTGAAACTATACGACTTGGGTCAAACATTTCTTCTTCCGCAAGAATCTTTTACGCCCATGCTTTAACTTTCTGGTCAATGTTTTGATGTTGCAGCTATTTTTGCAAAGTGCACCAATCCATCCTGTAGTAAAAGACCAACACATGATTCCCAGTACTTCACAGTTGGAATAGGCAGGCTGCCCCGTCACCCGTTTTTCATCCAGCTCCTCAGTTTCATTAGCCCACAGGACATATTTCCTGAAAGCAAGATCTTTTTTCAGCTGAAAAATAATCTAAGCTTTTATGCTGATTTTGCTGTAATGGTTTATTTTCTTTCTGAGTAGCACTTCAGCCCATATTGGTACCGGATTTATTTCTCTGTGGATAATGACGTTCTTAATAGCTCTGGAGAGTATCTTAACAACACCTTCTGTTTTTGTTTCATACTGTTCACACTAAAACATTTTGTTCTCCGGGACATAAATCCATCCATCTCCTGTCATTCAGCATATAGAAATAATTCTTATGAACCCAACTAATCTCAAAAATCAGTCAGACTGAAGGTTTGTCTTTTATGTAATGAACAAATATATCTGGTTTATCCAAATGTAAAGGAGAGCAGAACTTTTCTTCAAAATATTCGGTAATAAGAAGGATTTGTGGTTTTTTAAGGTCGCTTCAGGTTCAGTTTCCAAGGTTCATTATCGCCCTGATATTTCACATCTCACCTGGGTTTGTTACCATGGTAACTAATGATCAATGGCAAATCTATATTTACACATTCGTACTCATGTGTGCAGGGTAAAGTGGAGTTCAGCATGCGGCTGATGAGGAGCCTGGACTCGAACCCACAACTCTCTGGTTGCAACTATCCGCCCCACTGAACCAAAGTTTCTTCAAACTTGAAAACACCGTCTTCTCAATCTGTCATTGCCCTGAAAAAAAAAAAAAAAAAAAAAAACTGAAATTAATGTTGATGCATTAAGCTGTCCTTTTAATTTTCCTCTCAGATGTACGTTGGGGTCATATAGGACTCGTGAATTAATGGCACAGGACCCCTATCATCGCTTGGAGTCATTTAAGCTTCAGTCAGGACTAAACAATATTTTCTGGCATCTGAGCTCTTCCTTTATAATCCATCTGCAGGAGAGGAGCAGCCATCAATCTGCCATCAGACAAAGAGAAGTATCATCCTGTCCAAACCACCAGTACATAATGAAAGCACAAATTGGTTTTATGCCTTGAGTACAGCTGTTGTGAGCATCAGTCACTAGGCTGTTTAGAGTCGCAGTGCGAAAGAGGAATACAGACAGCTGGATCTGCTGATGAGTTGAGAGACCCGCAAAGAAAACTGTTGTCAACATAATAGCATTTCATTCAGAGCGAGGCGATAGCATAACGCAAAAATGTAATCAAAAAACAGTTTTTCTACCTCCATTCATTCAGATCAAACTATTTTAGCTGGATAGCCATTCCTGTAGCCTATCCTTCATCATCATAAATACTTTAGTTTTTGGATTCTGGCCTGGGGTTTTCAGCCTGTTCGTCAGGTAACATAAAGACCATGCAGAAAACACCTGTAGAGATGTGGACCTGATGATAAAAATGCATAAAAAAAATTACCCCTAAAACATTTGATCTAAAACACAAAGAAAAGCTCTCTTTAGCTGAGAGCAACCTTCACTACGTCTCTGCAGGAAGCTGCTTTGATGCCTGCTGACGATGGAGACATGATGCAAGCCATGATCTGCCCGGGAGCTGATGGAGACCAGATCTTACAAAGAATTTATGCTGGAGTGTAAAACATGATGAAATCTGATTTAAATTCACAAAGGAGCGACGTGTGAAGTGACGAACCTTCAGCAGACTTTGACTTTGTGTTTTCCTACG